ACTTCGGCCATCTCTTTCTCTCTTTTCTTCTTCTCTTTCTCTCTTTCTTCTTGTTTGCCGTGGGGGGGGAAATGGATTGTGGGGGTATTTAACACCCCCACACAATTATTGGGGGAGGGGTTTGTTTTTCAAACCCAACCCCCAATTTCCACGCCCCTCCCAACAATTTCCACATCCCCTCCAACTTTCCACCGAAATATCGGTGGAAAGTTGGACTTTGGTTTTTTTTTTTTTGAAAAATAAAATATTATTATATTATTTTATTTTATTTTTCAATTACTTTTTTTTTAAAGGATATTACAGCTTCTTAGAGAGTTGTTTAACTCCAAGTTTTTCTGTCCAAGATGGAACCAAACACACATTTGCATAGCATCCTTCTGTGTAGGGGTGCTCAAGCTACACTCGTCCTGACTGGCCTATCCTGGTCTCGATCATTTCGGAACAGGACGAACCTGCCTTGAGAATGATTAGGACGAGACAAGACTAGGCTAGGATGGGAATGGGACTAGGACCAAAATGGTACTTGGGAACACCTTCAAGGCATCCTGTCCCATCTTAATCCCATAACTTTCCTCTTTTTATTTTCTTTTCCTACCCTATTAGTTTTTCAGTTCCTTTTCAACCTTTTATTTTACAATTTCAGTCATAGATCCCTCATTTTCACTTTCTCTTGCATCGTATCACACCACTGCTCTCTCACTCTAGCTTGCTCGATGCTTATCTTTCTCATATTCAAAGTCACCAGTCCATCTACATTTTCTTCTCTTCTCCTTCCTCATCTGGTAGCGCTCCCTTCTCCTACTCATAACTATCTTCATCTCTCATAAATGTTTTTCATTTACAATGCTTGATTCTTCTTGTTATTTTCTCCTTTATTTCCTAGATTGCTTCTTTAAACGTCTCTGCCTTCTGGGTTTATTTTCCTCTTGACCAATTTCACTTTTACTTTATGGTCACTAGATTTGATTGTAAGTTATGTATTCTCTTCATCTTAAGGGACATTTTTCTTTTGTGGCCATGGCTACTGAGTTCTTTTAATGAAATCCTCTGAATTCAGCTTATGATGAAACTCCTTTGTTGCTCTATTCAATTATAATTCTAGTTGGTGTTTTTATATTGAAAAAAAATCTATCTTTGCAAGCCTCTTTGTTCTAGATAGCCCTTTTTTTTTCTAGTAAGTGGTATCATTGGACAAGACATTCTAGTGTCATCTTGGTGTTGTCCCTCTCTCGATCGAGATCAAGGCGCGCGGCATTGGGACAGGACAGGACATGGAATGCAAAATGTCTCCCATCCTGTTTTCCACGACAAAGGTGTCTTAGTCCCGCCGTGTCCTGTGAGCACTCCTACTTCTGTGGGTTATGTGGTTTTTTGTATTTTGTGAGTGTAGAAAGATTGAAGGGCCTTGTCAAGGGAGTTTGAAACCATCAATTCCACCTCTATATAGGAGAGTTTTGGTCATTTAAGTCTGAGAAAGAGTTGGCTCCAAAAGATTGACTACTTTCTTCCCAAGTATACTCTTTGTTGTGATGGTGACATCGAACCATATTTATAAACCAAAGCAAAAAAGACTTTGCATAAATAACCTGATAAAATAATAAAGAGAAAGAAACAGACCATCATGTTATTTGTGGCTAAGAGATATAACTTTATAGGAGAGAAGGTGGATAATAGTGAGAAGAAGAACATCATAGAATAGAAGAGGAATCAAAAGAGAGATGTAAGTGTAGGTTTCAAAAAGGTTTAGAGAACTCCACTAACAGATATCCATGAGATATTACTCTTCTAGCTTCTTACTTTATGACATAAAAGTAATTTAATTTCTTAACATATATGGAATTAATTTTCATAACAAACTTTTAGTGATTTCTTATCCATAAAGTTAATATAATACTTCCACATCTTCACTCTCAATAAAAAGTAATTATCCGATTATTCTTAAGCCAAAACTTGGCCCTTATTGAATTTGGAGGAGTTACCTTTTTAGGCTTATAAACACCTAAAAAGTATTCCTAAATTTAAAATTTAAGTTTCATGGGCATATAATTATTTTTATAATTTAATATAATTCTCAAATAATTATTTCCCAATTTTCCCAATTATTTGAGACCCTTTGATAATTTAAATAATTAATTTGGCTAAATTTCATTTAATTAGCTAAAAATATTAAATCTCCATAAATTTCTGCAAATGTATTTTAATTATTTTTATCTCTTCTGAGCCTCAAATATGTCTTGAAAAATTCCTTACTCTTTTTCAGGAATTCATGGAAATTATTTTCTTAAATTTCAGCCACATTTTCAAAAAATTATGTTCTTGACCCAAAACTTGTTCAAAATTACACTTTTAACCCAACTTGCCTCGTTTGGCATTACTTTTAAAATCACTTACAAGCATATTTTACGTAAGTCAAGACAAAACTTCTCTCACATACTTATTTTGTATTCCATAAATCACAATTAAAAATCTACTTATAAACTATTACAAACGAACTCTAATTTAGTTAGTACTCTGTTTGGCCCATGTTATAAGAAGGCTTTTAGAAGTATTTTTTATCTTTCTTATGAGACGTTTTGATAATTTCAATAAGTATTAAATATTTTTTCTATATACACATATTTAATAAGAGTAGTGAGGGAGTAAGCATCAATATGATATTAAGATTTCGTGTTATTAATAAGAGTAATACTAGGAATCATTTGAATTTTATGACAAATTTAATGCTTTTAACTATTTTTATTGGTATTTGTGAGGAGTATTTTATTTAAGGCATGAATTCCTTTAACTAATTCTCATGTTGAAAATGAAGATGCTAGATAAGGTCTCAAAGTCCGATGCATAACGGTCTAGTCATTAAGATTCTACATTTAACCAAATTTACAGAACCAAACACTGAGGAAGAAAAATGTAGGCAACAAAAGTGGTTCTTATGCCATTTGTCTATGAGTTTCGCAATAAAGGGTTCTTCATTTTTTTTTTTTATCAATTGGTTTTGCTTCTTTTTCTTCCTTCTCTGTCTATGCACCGATCTCCATCTCCGGCAAACATATGTATTCTGGATCTCTTGCTAAAATTCCTTTAATGATTCGGTTCCCTTGATTTATTCATAGGTATTGGCACATTCCCTTGTTTAATAAGATTAATGTTTTGTTCTATACTTGTATTTGGTTTTTTCTTTGCTTCATATTCTTTCTCTATTTCCTTCTCAGAAACCTGTGTGATTGTCTGCCTGCTAGGAAAGTGTTTAGAAGAGTGAGAGGACACTCAATTGTAACTGATAATTAACGAAAAGAGAAACTAAAATTTCATAAATTGATAAATAATCCGATTCCATTTGATAATTGCCTTCTCTAGAATATGAATATATTCTGATTCTCTGTCTCATCAATTTTTCTCCTTCTCGATCGACTGATGTGTCATTATATTAATACATTGTATATATATACTCCTCCGGTCCTTAATATAGGACCCAATTCTTGAGTTGGTTTTGGTCCTAAATATAAGACCCATTTCTCATTTATTAATTTTCTTTAAATTACCCCTATAGATACTCCCTCAACCATAATCAAATAGAAGAGGGAGAGGGGGTATTAAAAAAAGATGATTATGGTATTTTAGGAAAAATGTGTCACTTTTCTTATAATTAACTAACTTACCTAACTTCTTTAATCTAATCAAATTAGTTAAATGAGTCTTATATTAAAGACCGGAGGAGTATATATATATATTGATGACATGGGTTTGGTTTGATAAAAATTTCTTGCAGTTATTATGGAGACTTGAAGTCTAATTCGTATAACGCCGGGAAGGAAAAGCTTAATTAGTTAAAGATGAAGAGAATTACCTCGGTACTTTCTATAACGCCCACTCATGCATCACTGGCATTAATTTGGGTTAAGGGTATTTTTGTCATATTTGCAAAAAAAAATTATGGGTATTGGGAAATTTTTGTTTTGGCTCGACATTACGTTGAAAGTATTGAAAAATGATTAATATCATCTTTTACATTAAACATGTTAATATTTGACGTTAATTTTTTCAATAGAAAGGACAGCATTGCTAATTTTTTTTAACACTTATGGGATGAGGAAAAAAAATCCGTACACCAACAACTATTTCACAATATTTCTAGGACAAGCAGGGATAAACTTGCATGAAAAAAAAAATCATGGGTAGAATTGCACTTTTATCTTTTAAATAATATGCACGGAAACATTCATTTATTCACATGTATAGTTGTTCATGGTGGTTTGAAGTGTATGCTTCTGCTCCCGAATGCTAGATGCAATTTTTCAATTAAAAATTCTCTACAGTTGAATTAAACTCATCACAATTGATCAAAGAAGTAATTTCATGGTTATGAGAATTTAAATTCAGGGAGGCTAGTGTAATATGATAGTTTTGGTAGAATTGTATCTAGATTGTACAAGTGTAATAAGAAGTGCATATTGAAACTAAAGCATTTTTCAATTAAGCGTGTGATATAAAAACCAGAAGGGATCCTCCTTAAACTTGCCTAAGTGGACCTCACTTTTATTGGTGTTTTCTAATAATTAAACCCTTCTGTATTTGGAGGAGATCCAAAAAACTTTTGGGTTATTCAACTTCTCCCTTCTATCATTAGTCCTGTTGCATCTCGTATTACTTTTAGGGTTAAAGAGCAATTTTATCCCAAAAATTTTTGAGAACGAGTTGAGTGTCGGAAAGTTTTTGTTAGATCAATATTACCCCAGAAGTGTTTAAAAAGGAGCAATGTCATCCCTGGCCATTAAAAATGTCAATGGTTGATGTTAATTTTTAGCAATGTTATTTTTTCTCTCTAATGATTGGAGCCATTTTGCTTCTTTTTTAACGCTTTTGGTGCAGTATTGATTCAACAAGAACTTTTAGATATCCACAGCTCCTATATGCGTAAACTTTCAGAGAAAAATTGCACTTTAACCCAACACTTCTATTCTTGACAAAAAATTTCTTACGATGACAAAAATGTGATACTGCAGATGGGTTCTGCAGAGGGAATGCCTGCAATAGAACTTGAAAACAGAAACCTTATTAATGTTTCTTCATCAGTTCCAAGAATAAGTTCTTCCTTTGAAGAGGCTACCTCGCTAGTTCATGACAAAGGGAAGCTCTCAGTTGTAAGACGTAAGGTGTTTAGTAGCATAAAAGTGGTAGTCCTCTCTACCAAAATAAACATACTCATGCCCTTCGGCCCTTTAGCTATTTTGGTCGATAAGTTGTTTCATAGTCACGTGAGTTTCAACATCTGTTTACAACTATAATTTACACAATTTTTTTTTAGAGTTTCTTGATATCGTAGATAATACGGATGATCTCAATTTTTTGGCTTATTTAAATGCATTTCAGGGTTTGGTCTTTCTTTCCAGCCTTTTGGGCATATTACCTTTGGCTGAACGCTTAGGATATACAACTGAGTAAGTTATTCTAAAATCGCCATGTTTCTTTTCTTTTTTTTTTGGTTAAGTCATCAATGAAAAAGAAGAGTTTGCATGGAGTTTTCAAATTATTCAACACCTGAAAAAGAAAATCTATAATTTCACATAAATATTTTCAAGAACTAGATTACTATGATGTGATATATTTTTCAAAGCAGTTTGTTTAGGTTATTAAAAATTAAGCAAATTGCTCAATAAAATAGTTCTAGTACTAAGTCTACTTTTGCATTTTTATGTTTAAAAGCTCATTTGGAATAACTTATAAATAGTTTTTCAATAATAATTTAGAAAATATGAGTTAAATATGTGAGAAGAATTTCATCGCGGCTTAAGTGAAATATGTTTATAAGTGATTCTAAAGGGGGCCTAAATATTGCAATTGTTACTAACAGATCATTCAACATAATGCCCTCAGTCAATCGATAGATAGCAAATTAAACTTGTTCCGCTTTGTTTTTCTTTCTCTTACAGAATGGGGTTTGTTCTTCCTTGCATTCATTTCTAATAAGCTTAATTTAAAATTTGACATGTGATGCTTTAAGTTTATTTTATGTACTCAAATAAAATTTCATTGATGAATGGAATTCACAAAAGTTTTATATAACTTGGTCAGCCTTTGATGCAGGCAATTGGTTTGTTTTACGGGACCCACAGGTATTTTAAGCTTTCTCCTATTTCCAATTACAAATTTTGTGAACCTTTTCGCTTGTATTTCTTGCGATTATATCTTTGAATGAGAAGTAGCTAGCTAGAGCATTAGTGACCATACTTTCAATGATATGAAATGAAATTTTAGTCCTTTCAGATTTAAAATCATCTCAAGACAAATATATTAGATGCAGGTATGGTCTGTATGTAAGATTATTTTTTGTTTGCTGTACTTTGGTAGGCTTATAACCATGATTAAAACATATAAGCACTCAGCAAGAGGCTTTTGGTTGATGGAAAAACATGTGAATAAAGACTAAAAAGAATTATTAAAAAAAAAAAAGACTGCACATATAAGTTCAAGAGATACAAAATTGTTTATGGGCGGTGAATAATATATGCATGGTTCTGTGTAGATTTTGTTATATCGATGTTTTAGCTTTATATTTTTAAGAACCATGAGTGGTAACGCATAGTAATAAATTTGACCTTTTCCTGAGAATTTTGGTTTTCAAAATTATCGTCAACATGTTCTATATAGCTTTGATCTTTCGGGCCAATATTACTCTTGAGCGAAAACTTTTTCAGTAAATTTGTATTTTAACCCTTTTCAAAACCATGTGTGGTAAGGGATCGCTTTGATATTTTCCTGAGGATTTTGATTTCCAAAATCAAGTATATCATCATGTTACACGCGCGCGCGCACAGTCATATATAGAGTTATATCATCCTATTACGTGTCGTCTCTTAACTTTTGCAAACAATTAATGATCACAGTTCCTATACATATATACTAATTTTATCATATTGATTTGATTAAACAGTTGGAAGTCTTTTGAATGCCACATTTGGAAATGCAACTGAACTGATCATATCAATACATGCCCTCAAAAGTGGCTTGACTCGTGTTGTTCAGCAGTCACTGTTAGGTTCAATTCTGTCAAACCTATTGCTAGTTCTTGGAAGCGCATTCTTTGCTGGTGGCCTAGTGTTTTATCACAGAGAACAAATGTTTAACAATGTATATATTTGATTCTATGCCTCATTAGATGAAAAATTCCCTTTTTCGGTTATAGGCATAAGTTTATCATTACCCCTTTAACCTTATGTAAGATTTCAGTTTAGTCATTTAATTTTATAAAGTATCTTTTCTATTCTCTAACCCTAACATCACTAGTCTCAAATGGTATTTTTTGTGTGCCAATCATTATTTTTTAAAATTAAATTTCATATGTAAGCATTTGATAGAATGTTATTGTGTCATGAGTTCCGCATTGAGAGGGCTACCTTGAAAGAGGGGCCTTATAATGTCTTGGGTTCTCCAACTCCTATATCTAGCTTTTGGATTGTGGTTCTCCCAAAGACTTGTGCTCGTTACAATGGTACTTTTATCCAGAGTGAGCGAACTGAAGCCTCCAGAGGGCTACCTTAAAAAAGGGTCTTATAAAGCCTTGAGTTCCCCAAGTCCAACAGCTAGCTTTTGGGATGTAATTCTTCCAAAGACTTGTGCTTGTTACAGTAGGGGTGTGGTTCTCCTAATAATGAGTTAAAGAATAGAAAAGATACTTTATATAATTAAGGGATCAAAATGAAACCTTATGTGAGGTTAAAGGATTAGTGATGCACTTTTGCCTTGGTTTTATGTTGATTCTTAATGACTTGGCTGACAACTTGTTTGTCTAAAATCATCAGGCAGATATCGCAATAGACTTTGGGCTGCTTTTGATGGCTGTAATGAGCTTGTTATTTCCAGCAGTTCTCCATTCTACACATACAGAAGTAATTAATGGCAAGTCTGAGTTAGCTCTTTCAAGATTTACTAGCTGTATTATGCTTGTGGCTTATGCTTCTTACATAGCATTCCAACTAAATGGTCATCAGAATGCTCCGGTGGATAATGATGAGGTGAAGACTAAACTTCTTTTATGTCACAACATTGGTTTTAAGAAATGGATTTAGTGCAATATAGCTATAAAAAACAGTGAATTAGTGACAGAATCTATCACTAATCAATAAATGATGGTCCTTCTGTGACAAAATTTGCACTAAATTCTGCTGCTAATCCACTATCTTTTTTGAGTATATGTGGGTTTTCACAAATCAAAATAGGCAATGGAAATCTTTTAAAATTAGACAGAATACCCATGAATTGCACTAAATTTGAATCCAATCTCTAGAATTCCATAACATCGTTATGCAGTAAGAAATTCTCTGCATTTGTTTTTAGTCAATCAAATTAAATTTTCACAATCTTCATATGCCATTTCTTAATATAGGCTAAGTTAATTATGATAGGTCCAGTCTAGTTAGCTAATAATAAGCAATTTAGCTTTAAAAGGAATGTATATTTTGCAAAATCATTAGTTTCATTGATTAAAAAGAATTGAAGAGGTATTTGCAAAGACTTAATTATTTTCTAGATTGAAATAGAGGAAGAACTAAGGGAAACTGATGTTTTAATGTAGTAAAACGGACAAATATATTAGTGTTGCATCAAAATTATGTACATTTATGCATATTTTAATGGCATACACTAAGCCATGGCCAGTTTCATTAATACAAAATAATTGTTTGGATTTAAACTTTGGTCCAGTAGTGTTGACGAGTCACATTATTATTATTATTATTATTTTATTGATACTTGTTCTTGCTTAAGGATCGTTAAATACTTTTATATAATATTGTATAATTTGTTGATAACGATCAATAACGATATTTAGGAAAGAGGTCTAAGTGAAGAGAATTCAGCTGATGATGCAGAAACTCCTGAGATTTCTATGTGGGAATCAATAATATGGCTCTCTATCTTGACAATATGGATATCAATCCTGTCAGATTATTTGGTTAACACCATAGAGGTGAATTTAAATTTTGAAAACATTATTGTTGTTTGCCTTTTCTTAAAATCACATGATCACTTTCATTACGTTTTTAATTAGGACATAGTGATTCAAATATTATTAATATTATCTATATATATAATCAATTACTTAGACCTTCAATTGCTTATATATAACTCGTGGAAGAACATATTAAGAGGACCAAATTATGTTGTGATAAGCACAAAATTAAAAGGGCAAAAATATACTTTTGATTCTCCAATACTTTATGTATGATTTTATTTTCATTCCTTAATTCTATGGTATCTTTTTAGTTTTTTAATACTGTCAGGTTAGTCTCAAATGATGACTTTTTTGTACAAATCATTTTTATTTTTAAAAATTAAATTCAATATGTTAGCACTTAAGAATATTTTATCAATATTTAAAATTTTAATGTTGGCATTTTTTGTTAATAAATTAACAAGCTTAGGGTTAGAACTGAAAAAAAATACTTTATAAAATTATGGGACCAAAGTAAAATTTTGTACAAAGTTGAAGGAATAATAAACATACACTTTTACCAGTTAAAAAGAATAAAATATTTATATTATGCTGGGGTTCAAATGTTTACATTGGAATTGCCACTGCCACATAGAGATATACGTACTTTGTTTATGTCAATTAATTGTTGATGGAATCTCTAATCCCCTTAATTCCAGTTCTGCTAATAGAATTTCTGTTTTTTCTCTTGTGTATTATTTTTTGTATGGTTAATTTGGGAAGAATTTGTTCCTTACTCCTGATAAATGATTTTGGGAAAATCCCATTTAAAGTAATCTCAAAAAGGAAAATTCCAAATCAGGTTGGTAAATTCAGTAAATCCCTGATTAGTCCCTGATCTAATTTAGGACTTGTGAATGTTGGGTCTTTTATCACATTGTGCCTCACTTTTATTTTTTTTATTTTGCAAAGTCACATCCTTGTTTTTCCTTGAAAAAGTTACCTCTACCAGTGGCCGTTTAGCTAAAGAAAATTTGTGAATTGTAGTATTTGAACTTGCTAATTTCTAAACTTATATTGTGATTTAATAACAATAGATGTTTATCGAATAGTGATACAGTTTTATTGTAAAAGTTTTGTTGTAAATAGCTAACGATAACTTGTAATTGTTATAAATTGGACTTGTTAATTTCTTTTTTTTTTCCCCGATATATTGACTTGTTAATTTCTAAACCTATGTTATGATTGAATAAAAACGAATGTTTGTTGAAAAGTGCAACTTTATTGCAAAAGTTTGCTTGTAAATAACTAATGAAAACTTGTGAATTTTTAAATTGGGATTGATAATATTTAAACCCATCTAATCTTTTGATTAAACAACACGTTTATTGAAGAGTGCAACTTATATTGCAAAAATTTTGTCATGAATAGCTAATGAGAACTTGTGAATTGCTGAAGTGGACTCGTTAACTTATCTTATAATTGAATAACAACAGTTGTTTATTGAAAAATATAACTTCTTTGATGAGAATGAAAAGTATAACTTTATTGCAAAAGTATTGTTGTGGACCTTTGTTATCGCTCAATCAGAAGAAAGGCTTATAACGTTGTACTTTTCAAAAAACAACCTTTGTTATTCAGTGATATGATATGTTTAGAAATTAAAAAGTCTCATTTATCGATTTATAAGTTTCATTAGCTATTCACAATAAACTTTTGCAATAAAATTGTTGTTAGATTTTGCCCCACAAAAAAAATTGTTGCTAGATTTTCAACTGCCAACTGGGGTGGCGACCAGTCACCAATAGAAGTGGCTTTGACAAAATGAGGGACAATATGGTAAAATACTTAACATTCACAAATTTCAAATTGAGTTGAGAGGGGATATGCCGAATTTGCCAACTTGATTTGGGATTTCCCTATTTTTGGGAGCATTAAATGATATTTTTTTCAATGTATTGTTTTCCCTTTGAGAGTGTGCTTTTTAAGGGGGGAAAAATAGTAGACTAGGGGTTTTTTATTGACTATTTGAAGAAGGAACACACATACAGGCTTAATATAATTTTTTGTCTCTAAAATCTGAGCGTATTTGGTTTTGGCCCCTCAAATTTCAAACTCATGGTTTTATTTTCCTTAAACTATCATCTTTGATTGGAATTATCTCTCGGTGGAAATTGCTTATAATCAATAAGGATATTTTGAGAAAAGATAGAAGACAAAATGGATTGAGATATTATATTTAGGATCAAATTTAATTCCTCAAGTAGTTCTTATATTAAGGATCGGAGGTAGTATTTTGTATTGCAATCACAGGATTTTGCGATATACTTATATCTGAGCTATTCGACCTAGTAAAATGTTTTACAATTTATTTTAAAATTTTAAAATTTTAACATTTTTGGGTCTTTTACTTTGTCTTCGTAAGTCTACATGTTTTTTTTTTTTTGCTTACAATTATAATATAATGTAGTATTTATTATTCCCAGGGGGCGTCCGAAGACTTGAAAATACCTGTACCATTTATCAGTGTTATTCTTCTTCCTACAGTTGGGAATGCGACGGAACATGTCGGCGCTATCATATTTGCGGTAAAAGACAAGCTAGTAAGATTATTCCTCTCTTTTTTGTACCCTTTGTTTCATATAAAGAGAAAAAATAAAAATTTTGTGGGGTAATTAAATTTTATAGATTGGGCTAATTTGGTTCTGGGTTCGTGAATTCTCAAAGAGGTTCTTTTTTTTTTTTTAGACTCGAACTTGAGACTGATGAATCTAGCAGAGCCTTACATCACTAGATCAATACTTCGTTGGTTAAACTTTATAGAAAGAACTTTAAAACAGAAAAATCTTCACAAACGATACTCTATCTAGCAAGCTTTGGAGTAAATCACGCACTTATGGCTGGTTGATTATTCAATAAAATATATAACAAAGGTAAATAATCCATTAAGCCTTTTTTTTTTTTTTACAAAATTAAAGTATCTCTTTGTGCATGAAAATTTGATCTTGATTGATCACCTATCTTCACTACAAAAAAGCATGTATTTTATAGCGGTTAAAATATGATGTTTTCAGCGGTTTCAACCGCAACAAAAAACATTTGTGGCGGTTAGAAAAACCGCTAGAAAATCAAATGCAAGAAATAGATTTCTAAAGGTTATGAGAACCGCTACACAGCATGATCAAAACGCCAGAAACTTTCTAGCAGTTAAAAGAACTACTATAAAAAACAAGGAGTCCCACGGGAATGAGATGACATTTGTAGCAGTTTAAAACCACTAGAAATTATCGAAAATTTGTTGTGGTTTATCAACCGCTAGAAAGTTCTGAGCGAAATTTCATTTTGTCGGGAAACAAAAATTTTTATTTTGGCGCCAATATTTTCTAGCAGTTAGGAACTGTTAGAAATGTGGCGGCAAATTTAAATTTTGTGAAATTTGTCCCTCTTTTTTCATTTTCTAGCAGTTTGAGAACCCCTAGAAAGTTTATTCTAGGCGAAAAAAATAAATTAAGATGTTTGATTATTAAAAAAATATAATATTATAAATTAAAAAACCATTAAGTAGATTATATTAGAGAAATTTTGTTAATTTGTATATTTACCAGTGTATTACATGTTATATATTTGAATTTTGTGATAAATAATAAATAATTAAATCATGATTGTGTCAAATGAAGTGAATTTAATTTAATAAGATAACTGAATTGGAGATAGGATATTTTATAATATTGAACCTAAACTGTTATGTTGAGAAGTGCTTGAATCAGTTAAGAAGGATATGATAAATGTGAAGAAGAAAAATCTGAAAGAAAAAGAGATATAGATATGTTAGTAAATTATAAATAAAGATAAATAAAAGAAATTAAGACTTATAAAATGAATATCACCTTACCATATAATGAAGAGAAAAAAACCAACATATCAGAGTAAGAAAAAAAGAGAGAATTATAAAGAAGAAGAGGAGAGGAAGGAAAAGAAATGGGTAAAATAAATGAGGAGGTGATATGGTATTTATAGTGATTAGTGAGATATTTGTAGCGGTTTTTTGCAGCATTTTAATTCATTTTTTAGCGGCCTTGTATTTTCTAGCGTATAGTATAACCGCTAGTTTTTGTAGGGGTTGTATATTTTGTAGCGGTTATATAACCGCTACAAATTATAATTTTTTACTTTTTAAAAAACTGAACCAATTTTAATTTATACATATTTATTTATGAAAAGCAAATTTTTTGAATGATAACAATTTTTGAAACTGCTATTCTTAATCATCATCCTGCCTGAAAGGAGATATTAAAAAAAATTACGTTAGAATTATAATATATTTAGAAAAAATTAGTAATTAGTAGTTAATTATTTAAATAATTTAAGAAAATACATATACCAAATAATTGCCAAATTATCGTCTCCTTAAGGAAAGAAGTTTTCAAAATTCGTGGGTTGGAACGATTTGTTGTCGTAAGTAATGTCACCATCACCCATATCATAAAGATCCCGTGACTTGATATAAATAAAATTATGGAAATAAATAATAAAAGTAAACAAATAAACATAAAATTTAAATAAATATCCATATAAAACATAACATGATAAAATCCAAATCCAAATAAAATCCTATACAAGAAAAACAGGGGATAATCCGGGGTGAGAGGCAGAAGCAGTATCATCTTGATCGTCGGGCGCTGGATCATCCTACTAGTTCTACTGGGGGTGGGCAGGCTGCTGATTGTGCTGGGGTAAAACTGGCTGTTGATCGTGCAGGGGTTGGACTGGTGGCAAGTGTATGTCAGGGATCTCGGGATTTGGGATGTTTGGAGCGAAACTGATCACCACATCACGCATGGTCATAGCAGCTGCCTTCAATTGGTCAAGCTGTAACTAGAACTGACAATCATGCTCCTCCATCCTGATCTCCATCTCTCGCCTGATCTCCTGTCACAGCTCGTCTGAGGACGAGGAACCTGGCTGCTTCACTCCTGTGCTCACCTGAGAGCTCCCCCCAGTGTATAAAGGGCCAGTGCAACCTAAGCAGGGCAACCTAGTCGATGAGGGTCCAAGACCAAGCCTGTTAACTCGACCAGGGTACTGCACTCAGCCACGACTCGCTAAAAGTGAGGCGGTGGGATCCAAGGCAGACCCCTGAGACTCCTGCAGCTCAGTATCGACCTGAGTCATCCACGCCTATCAAAATTAATATAAAAATATTAATTAGTAAGAAATAATATTTATACTGCAATATGATATTAATATTTAATTGATTACTTACTACTGGATATCATCATGCTCCACAAAACTCAGGATATCCTCCTCGTTCAGATCATAGTCATGAATGCTTGGAAATGGCTCACCAGCATCATGACCCCCATCACCACTATCCTTGTTGGGTTCTCCTCTCTCAGGATCAACCGGCTCCTTCCCTGGTTAACAACTCATCCTAATAATAGCAAATAGCAATTGTAATGAAAAATATATTTTACAACTAACAATTATTAAAAATAGACAATTATATCAAATAATAATTATTTCTATTAACTCTAAATAATAATATCGAATAATATTAATTGAAAAACAGGTATTCCTATATTTAAATTTTCCGTTAACTCATTAAAAAAAACTATTTCTATTAACTCTATAAAAACTAGTCTACTACAAAAAAAAATTTCTATTAACTCTAACTAAATCAAGCTAGTCTATCAAACTTAATATAAAAAATATAATAAAATAAATAAAATAAAAAATAAAAAATAATTATTTATAAATAAATTTCTATTCTTACCTGAAAATATGGATCTGGGTCTGGATCTGGATATACTTCGTGGAGAGAACTCAACAGAGCTTCACTTCAAAATTCACCAAAACAGTGAAAATGACGTGGTAGGGGGGTATATATAGGCCGCAATTTTCTAGCAGTTCTATGAAAACTGCTAGAAACTTCTAGCGGTTTAAATAAAACCGCTAGAAATTTCTAGCAGTTACGCTCTGCCACCACCTGCATTCAACCACGTGTCACAACTCCTCGGGAAAAATAAAAAATTTGTAGTGGTTAGTTGCATTAGTAGTGGTTTTGAAACTGCTAGAAAATGCAACAGCGATTTGCATTCTCTAGCGGTTCCAGCAGTAAAATCGCTAGAAATAAAACGCTAGAAATATGGCACCAACTTCATGCCAAAACGCGCGAACAGTTGTGGCGGTCACTTTCTAGTGGTTGACTCCTAACCGCTAGAAATGTGTGGGGCCCACTCGCTTTTTGGTCAAAGTGCTACGAATTTCTTACGGTTTGTGTGAAAACCACTAGAAATTTCTGAATTTGTAGCGGTTTTATTTAACTGCTAGAAATGTACCACTACTAAATCGTCTTTTTTTTGTGGTGCTTACTAAGAGTACTCTTTTCTTACTAGCATAGATTTTTTTGACTTATTATGAGGAATGAACAAACTCTCTCTAATAAACTCTGTAAGTCTGTATGCTTAATAGCAAGCCCTATCAACTATCTCAAACCCTAACACTCAATTTTTCTTATATTATTTTAAAGATTAGAAGAAAGGGTTATGGGACAAATTTGTCCTGGAAGTTTTCATTTAGGAGCGCTAGGTATCTGAAATATTTTTGGAGCAAATTTGTTCTAAAAGTTTAAAATCATAAGAATATTACCTCCTACTGTTAAAAATGTTAATATTCAATGCCACTATCTTAATAGTCAATGTTAGTTTTTTTATGATATGGGGCAATATTGCTATAATTTTAAACTTTTAGGACTTAACCCCATATTGTAGGGTGGATCTTAAAAGATATGAAATATCTCCTTCCAAGCTATAAATACAACTTTCATTGCATACGGCTTTCTACATAATTCTATATGTATCTATGAGATCAAGCATGGAATAAACACTATGAAATTTATATTAACCGCATTTAGTATAAGTTCAAGACACATAAGGGCTCTAACCATATTTTGGTTTGTGATCAATCCAAAAATTACTTTCAAATACCCAGAGCTCCTAAATAACTTTCAGGGAAAATTTGAACTTTAATTCTTTGTGCTAAAAAACACTTTCAAAATAAATTTGTACCTTAGTCCTTAAAACTTAGAAGATTGAAAAGTTTAAGTTGTAAATAATAAATTAAAAGCATGCATAACTTTTAAGATTGTCATTTGTAATTAAATGGAATTTATCGTGTTAACATTAGAAGCAAATTCAAATTCCAAGTTCGCAGTTGTAATACTTGAAAAGTTTCATTACAATTAATGGGAAAAAATGATAATTTTTCAGTTTTAGGTCATTATATTTAAATATTTCTATTTAAAATTAATTTACTTTGGAAGTTGAGTGTTGAAATTCCTAAACATATCGACCTATTTGCTATGAATTATTATTATATCTTCAATGAAAAAACTTTTTGTGCATGCTATCTCTTTACAGGACATATCTCTTGGAGTAGCTGTGGGCTCTTCAATACAAATATCCATGTTTGTGGTAAGTTCTTTACATAACAAGCAAGAGTTGTATGGTCAATAAATTGAATTTCCTAGAATAGCAGTTCCTTTTGTTGGTTTAGAAACATTGATCGATTGAAATTAAAAATTAGTGTAGCTAATACACAACATGAAAATCGAGCATAATTGAAAAGATAATATACTGATTAATATCTCCTCTTAGACTAGCAGTCAATGCACTGATTTAGTAGTTAGTTATTAAGCTAAGATGTGATGTGTATGTGAGGGCTTAAGTAGAAAAGTGATGGGTATTAATTTGTGAAGGGGAGAACTCAGATCTTAGAAGCTAGAGAATTATGAAGTATGTGTGTATCAAAGCTCTCTATCATTTTCTCTTATTCTCCACTATTGATGAGTTTAAGCCTTTAAATACTATGTTGAATTTCACCCTAAAACACAAAGGAGTCATGAAAAAAGAGAAAACACTATGAGTAGAGTGGCAAATTGTTAGAGCAGAACATCTCCCAAGAAGGAGACGAATTGGGTGTAGATAAAAATTTAAAGAAATTAAGGACTTTAAATTTGGAAACAAAAGGTAAAAATAGAATGAGTAAATATCATTAAAGTTAGACAGAAGTAGAGGTCATAAGTAATATAGCAAATTTATACTAGTTTGGTCTGAAACACATGACCTACATCCAAACCTTAGAATATAATCCTCTAATATTAATCCAGATTCTTGGTGCTTTAGTAAATCAACAATCTCAAACCCTTGCATATGTGTTTTTCACTCCTTTTACATCTTTAAAGGTAACAATCCTACTCAAGATTCCACAATCTTGAGTCAACTTATACAATAAATGAAAGTGCTTGATGAGATCTCATGGGTAGTAAATGCCTATTATGAAATATAGAGTGAGTTCATTTTTTGATCAAAGTTTGAACATGAAATAAATTCAACAGAGCTTTTGCATATTTCTATTTGATGAGTTGTTTCTCCATCTTGAATGTATCCCTAGTTAATTATATATTAGCTTGGGTCAATTGATTATAACTTGAAGTTTCTCAAGAAGTAACTTAAATCATCAATACTATTGACCTAATCTTGTGGTTATCGCTATCATATAATTAAAGAAAAAATTAACCCTTGATGTCACTACTTGATTTTATCACGTACATTCATTTATAAATAGAAGAGCATTCAAGATAAAGCAATAACAAAAAACAATTTAGTATCCTAAACTGTGATTTATTGCATGCGCATTTAAAACTACAACACTTAAACTTTTTATATCTCAATGTTTATTAGTGTTCATTCATGGAAGAGATAGTTTAATCATTATATATTTATTACTCTGAGAGATATTCCCTTACGAGTTGTAAGTGCGAGGTCCATATACAGACTAAAAATGTCTTGTGTGTTGTACATGCCTCACAATTGCTCATTGTAAATAGGGGACTAGAGGTAGTGAATAGATTGAACCAAAATAAACTCATAATCTACTTCTCGTGTATTCTTTGACTCAACATGTATTTTGATGATATAATTTCTAATTCTATTTCTTTTATTCTTTAAGCTTTTGTTTTTTTAATTTAGTTTAAAATTTTATATTTATCCATTCATCCCCTCTTGGGGTGAAATTTTGTGCTAACATTTGGTATGAAATCAAGTTTTTGTAAAGGGAATTAAACATCTCCTAGGTAAAATAGGTGATCAACAAAGTGATTGACTAAATAAAGCTCCCAAAGGTTGGATGTTTAAAATTACAACATTAGTATAGTAAGTATCAAGCTTAAAGAATTGATGAATCTCTTAACCAACAAAGTTAGTTTCTTCAATTAATATGGTTATGGTTTTTGTTGTAGACTTAAATGCCATTCCTATTTATATATTTTCAGCTCAAAGAGATGATAGACACAAAAATTAATTGTTACTTACTAAAACTACCATTTAGTGAGAGCATTTAATGCACTATCAAATAAAACAATTTAGCTTGATAGTTAACTATAGTTGGATAGATACAGACAATTTTTTACCAATTAAAATATCTCACATTATTTATCTATTTTTCAAGACATTATAGTATTAATTAGAAGCATTAACATAGTTGATTCTAAAGACTGGACTCATCATCATATAATCTTCAAGTTTCTCAAAAATGATGAGTAATCGGGTAATATCACTTAGGAATCTATTTAGTATGTTCATAAACATTCTACAAGTTAGTAGTAGATGATTAGTGTATGTATAACTATACAATTTAAACTAATGCTCTTAGAAAAGATTTGCAATTGTGCAGTTATGATAATTGAATAGCTCTCAGTAAACATATATGAATTTGAGTATTACAACAACTTCTATATCATGCTGATAAGTTAAATCAAAGTTTAGTTATTATAATCAACTATAGTTTCTTTAGGATATTGCTCTAAGGAATGAAATAACAAATAATTGACTATTAATCTATATATGAATGCAATAATAGTCCAAAAATCTTCTTCAGTTAAGCACAATATAATATTAGCTGAATTAAAGCATAGTAGATGACTACTATGATTCTATATTTCAAATTTCATGGATGTTTTAGGTTTAATACTATGCAAGCTAATAAATATTAGTTATGCAAATTAAAATAGGTAAACACATGTGAGAAAATATTTCAAACCAAAGCATAACCGCATAACTATATTACAAGCAAACGATTCTTAAAGTTCTAGCCCATGCAGTCTAATATTTACTTGCTTTCTTTTCCTCCCTTAGCTAATAGGGGTATGATCCTTGTTTAGTGCATGAGCATATTCAAATGTATCTCTAAAGCTTCTAAACTTTCTAACCTTGTTGAGCACATCTTCAATAATGATATAACTAATTAACCACATCTTCATCTTCGTAAGCTTTCTTGTGATATCTCTTGTTCATTGCAATCTTTCCTTATCTTCATTTAAAATCTTTTTCATGTGCACCAACAGCTTGTCATTATCTTAAAGCTATTAGATTATCTCAATAGTTTAATGCAAACTTCAAACTTCATGAAGTATATGAAGAGAGAATCTATTCAACACAAGCTTTTGTTATCATCAAAATCATGACAATTCACACATGATATTTTTTTTCTAATAAGTGAATTTAATGCTCCTCTTGATGACTAATTCAAATTCATGACAACTATATTTTTTTTTTATCAAAACTAGTTACTCATAAAAATTATAAATATGACCATTATTTAAGTATTTGACAATGAATTTATTTGTAATTAATTATTGAAAATCTATTTATTCATCTAGTTCGTTAAATCTAGAGTTACTATTCTAAACTACCAACCTTAAGCATCATTATATATCATCCAAACCTTGTGAGGTTTATATTTCTGATCATTTAGTGATTAAACCATCCTTATATATATGAGAGACTAAAGATTATAGAAATTTTTAATGGAATTATCAACTCTAAGTATGGGGAACATCAATATATTAGCCAAGGTTAAGGTCAAGGTTTGTATTAAGCTTTTGCTAAAAATTAAATCTAGTAAGTATAGTGAAAAATATCAAGTAAAATGTTTAGAGACTAGGTGTAGGCTTAAATTGTTAGGGCTGAACCCTTATGTTTAATCTCTCGTACTCTAATCTCTCTCAAAATTCAATTTACATTTTTCATATACGTATTTTGTTTTTTCTATTTTGGCATTGTTTTACCATTATTTGTTTGATTTTGCAAATATTCAATTGAATCTCCTCTTGGGTAATCAACCATCTTTTAATATCAACTAAGACTAATGAAAGTATGGGATGGTATAGGTATGATCCAAACTATACTAAGATAATAAGAAAAAAACGACAAAAGCTCACACACGCTTATAAGTTCTCTAGTCGTTGTGAGGCTAGAATCTCTCCCACATAAATTTTCTCTTTTTTGCCTAGCTTTTTCATTAAACCAATCTCCCCAAATATATACATAACACAACCCTTTTCTCTCTCTCTCTCTCACACACACCACACATGCTTCTTATACTTAATCATATATAGCCCATCAGATATGGGCTCATTAACTATATGTCCATCATATTTTTTTTCTTTTTTTCTTTTTTTAAATTAAGCATACAAGAAGTAAAACGACACATAGTTAAAATACACCAAATATTTTTACTATCCTTATTAATCTTAACATTTCATCATTCTAATTATTTCAGATTCCATTTTGTGTGGTTGTGGGGTGGATAATTGGATGCCCTATGGATTTGAATTTTCAACCCTTTGAGACGGCTTCTCTCTTCGTAGTTGTTGTAATTGTTGCTTTCATGCTTCATGTAAGTCATTCTAACCACTTTATTTTAAGAACAAATTTACAAATAATTTGAGTCCCTTATCATTTACTTTTCCAATAAAATCGTAATATTTAAGCACTACATTGCGAGCTTCTTAATAACTTTTCAACTTATTATAATTTAGCTAAAAAAGACTTTCTAAATAGTGTTTCAAAATTATATTAAGCTTTTCTTATATTCATTTTCCTACATTTCTAGTAAAAATCAAGACTAATGAACTATTATGGTTGTATTATATAATATGATTTGTTTGACATATGTAATATATACTAGTTAATCGAGTTGGTTAGAATGGCTCAAAATTATAATTAGGATAATTTTTTTTTAACTTTGATGATTAAGTATACATGATTACTCTGATAGGTCTCAATCAAGTCTTCTAACAATTCCAACCTAGCTTGATATATTAATATACATAATGTGATATGCTATTACTAATTTTAAGTGGTATGTTATAGCCCTCTCCATTAGTTTAATTGAGCATGTTTCACAATCAAGCCATATTAAGATGTATCAGGGGATATTAACGCATATATCTAATAAAATGCTTAAGGGTACAAAATAAAGCATGAGCTAATATAATCCTTTACTTGGCTAAACTTATTTTTATTAGACATTGTTTTATTTATGAAATAATCATGTGTATGTTAACATGCTTTTACTCTTATTGACTGTTTTTTTTTACAATAATGTATATATATATTTTTTACTAGTTTTTTTCTTTTGTAGAATGGAACATCCAACTATTTTAAAGGAATGATGCTTATTCTTTGCTACTTAATCGTGGGAGCAAGTTATTTTGTACATATTGATCCTACTTCAATAAGTAAGTTTGTTCAATTACATAGATATTCCAAATAAAGAAAGCAAGATGATCTTTCAAACTTTTATTTTGATAAACTTTTTTGTGCTTTATGAGCAATGAATATAATACTGAGCTTTTTTAACCCAAATGACTAATGGATTTAACACTATAGTAGTACTTAAAAGCATTTCTACAACTGGCCTTTTACAATAGCTATGGTAGGATGATGTATAAAGTATGAATGATGGGTATTTTTGTAAATAGACAATGAGATTATTAACTTTCTATGTCAATTGTTAAAAGAATCTATGTAGAAAGTATTTTTTTTCCATAACTTTAAACAACAACCAATGTAAAAGGTTATTTAACATGATGTTAATTATCATATATCTCATATACTTAAGAATGCATTTAACATTTGAAATATCTAAATTGAAAAAACAGAAAGCTAGTTGAATCAATGAATCGAACACACTTTTTGGCACCATCTTTATCGGTTTTCCAATCTAAAATAAGCAACTAATCTTTTGTCCTTCTTTTTTTAATAATAAACTTTCTTGCATGAAATAAATTAGCTTCTACTTTGTAATAATCACTCCTGAGAAATTGATTGTTCGTGCTATAACTATTATATGCAATGAATCAACTATTCTCTAATTCTTCCCTCTATTCCTCCATTCCTGAGTATTATTCCAATGATTACCGTCATCATTCAATCTAATTCTTTTTCTTTGATAATTGTGCTTTTGAACTGATCTATTAATAACTATTTGATGTCATACCCTTAATCTTTAAAATTATTACCACTAAGCTTGGCATGAACTAACTTACACTTCTGAAAAACAATGAATGAAAATATGTTTTATTAATTCATTCTCTTAGTTACTAAAATTATGCATTTATTGGAGTTGCAGATGATGCTGGTTGAATACTTTTGCCTTTAGAATCTCATTATGAATCCTCTCTTATGCCTATAGTAAGTAATCTAACACTTCATAATGTTTTTCAATCAATAGAAGAATCCCTATTCTTCTGATTCATAATGCTAACCCCTCAATTATAAAGTAATCAATATTTTAGTTTTGTGTCTAACATCTTGCACGCACTCACTTGATGGTCTATTATCATGTGATTATCATCTCTTTTGCTTTATATGTAAAATATTTGCCTTCTAAAACTAGAAACTTAGCCATTTTGAATTATTCAATAACTACTATAGTAGAAAATAAAGATAGTTAATAAAAGTCTACCACAGCAACGAAAAATTACAATAACGTTTCAAAACCTAATCATGGTAGAAAAAAAAGTTTAGCCATACATTTAACAAAAACTACCATGGTTATAAGAATAGAAATAATCCATTAAAGTGTTAACCATGATGGAAAAAATAAATCATGCAACTTAGTAGCCTCCTACCAATTATCAACACTTATCCCAAAACAATCAAACAAAAATATAATATAGTTCATCAAATCAACAAAAGTAATCACAGTATATAGATGAACCCTATAAGAGCAATATACAAATATTTAGCATAATAAAAGGGGGAGGTGTTACAAATCAATGGAGTATCTCAAGTCTTCGAAGTCTTTCCTGATAGACCACCACCATAACTTTTACTTAGAAAATGTTTAAATAGTGGAGTAAGATAAACAACTCAGCAACCAATAATTTAACCTATCATACATACTAACATGTGATTGTGAGTGCTAAGCCAGAGAGATACAAAAGATATAATAATTTCATGATATAACAATTATTGTCTTATGACTTCCCTTATAACCCTCTTCATTTCCACCAAATCCATGGGCTAAATTATTTATTCACGTAACTTGTTACTCAAAAAGCTCACTAGTTATATGATATGAATTAGTCAAAGTCCACATGGCATGCAACTAGACAATCGGTTGCCTCTCATAGAATTGATGAGGTGTTGTAGCCAAGGTGGAACAAATCCGAGATCATAGGAACTTATTAGTGTTCACACCGCAAGTGTACAGGTCGTCACAAGTAATAAAGTAATAAGTAGAGTATCATTCCCATGAGGATTTGGTTTCAAAACCTGGTCAAGTATTGATTATTACACTTTCACTTAATTTGAGTAATACAAATATCAAGAGTGAAAGTAACTATTTATAAAATTAGAAATTAATAAAAAGAAAAAGTGATTCTTTAATTCCAATGATTCAAAGGGACCCAGGATTATTTATCCCCCTTATACTTCAAAAGTACTCAATTAAATTCCCATTGTATTTGCTTCTTAATTATAGATTATGCTAGCCAAGGACACTAAATTATCTATAAGTGCTCTCTCAAGTCTCCAAATAGGTGTTTAGCTTAATTAATTCCTTAATCCTTTAATTAATTAATTAAATCCCAATTTTAATTGCAAACCTTATATGACTATGTGAGGTTAATGAGTATATCTCTATCTCAATAACAAAATCATCCATCCAACTCACAAATTTCAAGTTCTCACACGATTAAACTCAAATTCTACACTCATCCTAACCCTCTTAAGCATCAATTAAGTGAACCCAACAATCTTATTGGTGGCCAATCAACAAGAAGCACTAAGCGTAGAGTAAAATCAATACAATTATATCATTAATCACAAATATATAGGGGGAAATGAGTACTTAGTCCATACAAGAGTTCAAAATAAATCTAGAATCAAAATATTTAGCCACGCATGCTCAAAAAATCCACAAGAATATATATATACACACACATCAACACAAAATGGAACAAGAGTAGAGAAAACAAAATGGAAAGGAAAAACCAAGGAAAGAAGCTCAAATCTCTTCAAAGCTCCAACTCCTAGCTCAATCTCTTCCAAGAAGCAAGCCCTCACACAACCAAAGACTCCCAAGAACCACTCAGAACTGAAGAATGGCAGCCAAGGTCGAGTTTGGGTCTCAAAACCTAAAATTTTCAAAGCTCCAACTCCTAGCTCAATCTCTTCCAAGAAGCAAGCCCTCACACAGCTAAAGACTCCCAAGAACCACTCAGAACTGAAGAATGGCAGCCAAGGTCGAGTTTGGGTCTTAAAACCTAAAATTTTTTAGCTTAGTTGAACTATGCATTTTGCTGTGTATGATTGTGCCACGGCCAAATTTTCCTTTGTTTTAGTTGAGCTACAGCCAGGTCAGAGTACACTGCAACTCATTTTGGCTCTGAAACATTTTGTACTTCTAGTTCAAATGAGGAGTTTTACCCATGATTTGGCCTCTATTTGTTCTTCTTTGATCACCATAATATAATTCTTAAGAAATATTGATCTTTAATTCCTTCTGAAGTGCTTCCAACAAGCTTAAAACTTTAATTCTTAGACTAAAATAACCTTGCAAATGTGACAAACTTTATGAGCTCAAAAATAACAAGGATAAATGCTAAAATATGAACAAATACATCAAAGAGTGCATAAAACTTAAAGAAAAAGTGAAACGTCCTGCCTTTAACCCCTCAGAGCACACATTCATAAGCGTTATGGTTCAAGCAGATCTGGCACAAGCCTGCGGATTTAAAATTTTAACATAATTACTCGGTTACTATTCACTGTTAAATTTTCAGATTACAGGTCTAACTTCAAAAATTCATAACTAATTCCATAAAAATCGTATTGGGGTGTTCTAAAATTCTACAAAAAATATATTTCGATGCTTTTTAAGGAAAAAATATCCAATTGGACTTATCCTTGCCCAATTCGTACAGTTTAATTAATAAATATTACTGTTCATTTCGTAAAATCTGGAACTTCCAGATTCTGTGCCTCAACTTTGGAAATTTTTATCTCCTTGTGTACACATCCAATTGAGATGATCTACCTCTCATTTTAAAGCTTGGGATGTTTACTATAAGTCTGTCAAATCTCGTGACTTAACTCATTCGTTTAATAGGTCAAACGGGAGCTATAAACTCACTGCTCCAGGACCTACTTTTATCTCTTGGCATCTCTTTACTTAAATTCTTTTTATTTCTTTGGCATTCATAACATGGGCTTACTCTTTCCCATTCATGCTCATACATTTCTATACATGCCAAAAGCATTATAATTAAATACATGGCATCATAGGCATCCATAACAATAATTACATAATCGGAGAATTACATATTGAATGATAATATCATTCATTAACATCAACAATTTTCCACTTTCTTCTCCTTGCTTCTCATACTATTATTGTCCATCATTGATTGACCTATATGGTTGGTTAGGGAGGGGTGAGATTCGGTGGAATCTCAATAGCAAACAATACCATATTAATCATGCTAGATGGATGCTAATGCACTACACGTAACTTGTTTATTCTTTTGTTAATTAATGACATATTAGCATGCTCAAAGCTAACTTCTTGATGCATGGCCATGGAGACATAATCTACTCATCATGAATAGCAATTACAGCAGCTAAAACATGTCACAATAACATTCAATAACATGTACACGGCAACACACAAGCATACAACATCAAGCAATGACAATAGGTAAGTTCACTACCTTACACCTTAAGCTTTCCTCTTACTTTTCCTTTGACTCTCTTGACTTTCCAACCATGTGGGCATTCAATCAACATCACCAAACATCCTCTTGGATGTTCCAAAGGTCCTAAACATAGTCACATTGATCATACAATCCATTAGGACCTCTAGATTACATAAAATTCAAGACTAACTCTCTTGAACCTCAACCCTTTATCTTGCTTTTAGGGTTTCCTTTCTAGCTTTTCTAACCTAAATCTCATCATTTCCCATCCTTATGATCCATTTCTTGTCAATTAGGACTACTTTAGATAGCCTTAGATTTAAGAATATCAAATCTGAAAATTTTGGTTCGAGGGTACTGTTCACGTAGAAACTCCAGAATTTTTGCTCAACTTTGAAAATTCATAATTAATTCTAGAAAAATCCAAATTGAGTGGTTCCAAGTCTCACTAAAATATCCTTAAATTAAATTTAAAGAAAAAATAGTTTCAGGAACCAATTCTACACCGAACAGTACCGTAATTGTACGGAAATCGACACTCTTCCAAAAGTTCAACACTGTTTCCATATTTCAAACCCTAACTTTGAAAAATCACCATAAATTGTATACATATCCAAATGAAGTGTTCTACCCATGGATTTAAAGCTCATAGAGTTTACTTTAGGCATGTAAAATTTCAGAATCAGATATGAATAGTAACTAATTCGAAATAGGTATCAAATTAGATGCTACAGCCATCACATACCTTGATCTTGAAGCTTGAACTTAGGTGGACTTTCTCTCGCTAGAAATAGCTTTTTCTCCCTCTAGATGCAAGAACGGCAGAGTTTTCCCTATAGATCCTTGCTTGGCCAAAATATGAAGGGGAGGGAGTGCCTATTTATAGCCACAAATTTGGCTTGAATGGATCAAAATGCCCTTGGTGGTTAATAGAAAGGGTAAAGGCAATCTTGGAACTTCAAGTTAACTTTTACATCATCATTACATCATCTTCTTGCATCATGCTTACCTCAACCGTCTAGAAGATGCCAAGTGTCATGAAAGTGGTGGAGGAGATGGGAGATTAGATCCTAGCCGTTGGATCAAACTTAATTCCTTTATGGCCTTCCTTTATGGCCCACGTTTCTCCAGCTTCCTTTATGGCCTTCCTTTATGGCCTTTCTGTCTACTCCATAAATTCCTTTTAATTCTATAAAATATCTATGAATTTTCTTAGGTCATAACACTTCCTTTAAGCTTTGCATAAAAAATCATTTACTAAAATGCCCTTTTATCGGCATAACCGGCTTTTTAATTTATTAAAGCCACTCCATTGGCCTTTTGGTTGCGGGACTAATTTTATAAATTAGTACAACATTTCAACCATTTAACATCATTTTTGTATACATTTTTGAGGTCTTTTGCTATTTTAAATAATTACCTCAAATGATATACTTTTTACCG